GCTCTGCAACAATGCAACAACATCATAGAATGTAAAAAAATAATATTAATAATAAAAAAGGCTTTGGTTTCTAATGCTAGGACCTTAGATTTGTTACCTAACTTTTCAGGATTTTGATTTCTCCACTTGTAAAATGGGGGTAGTAAAGTATTTGTTCTTTCTTGGGCTGGTGTGAGAATAAGTGAGATTATGGGATCTTCAAAAAGTTCATGGAAAGATTATATTGTCTTTTAATTCCATTTTCTACAAGCTTTTTGAAGTACCTTCATATGTAAAAGCCATTTGCAAACTGTAAAATATATTATTGAGAACACTTTTGAGTGTGTGTGTGTGTTGCTCAAGCAGCTCCAAGAGCTCCCTACACAAAAGAGCTTGTTGTGCACAAGGCACACCTGTGTCAAATGGCCATGCTTATCTGAATGTGTGCCCTTCCCATCTTACTCAGGAGGCTTGGCATCCCTATCAGGACAGTAGACATGGGGGAAGGTGTCCTGTGATGGGGAATCCCCAGTGCTCATCCCTGCTCAGCCAGGTGATCTCTCCCAGCTGCATGTGGTCAGCTTTGAGGTTGGACATCTACTGCAAAGACTCCCAGAGCTGCATGGCGTCATTTTGCCTCTTTTTTTGCATCTTTGAAAGTCTGTTAAGCTCCTTCCACATTTCACTGCCCTTCCACAACTAATCAGAGCAGTCTACGCCAGCTTCAATCTTGCCTTTTTCAGCTTGATTTCAATTTTAATTTTTAATTACCTGCTCTTGTGTGTCATTTTAGATGGATTTGCTGTGCCAGAGACTCTCCAAATAAATGAGGTTCTAAATTAGCCTACGTAATTAGACAAGAACTCAATTATTTCAAACATTCATACTATCTGAGACTTAGATAAAAATAAGCTTTGGGCACTGATAGTTTAAAAGTCTTCTGCTAAGTTATTTGTATTAGAATGACACCTTAAAATTTTTGGTTTGAATTATATTACAATAGCTGGACAGTAGCGACTTCCCATTAAGGAGGACTGGATGACTCCTACTTGGTAA